CGCCCGCTGCTCCCCTCAGCAGTGTACTTTGTTGATCTGCCTGTTCTGCTCCCCACTCTGTCTCTGGTGAAGCCTCTCGCCGCCCCTGCACCTCTGGCCTGTACCACAATTCTGTATGCATAAATAAATAAATCTTTAAAAAAAAATTAAACTGTCATATGATACAGAAATTCCACTTTTGGGTATCTATCAAAAAAAAGCAGGGTCTCAAAGACATATTTACACATTCATATTTATAGCAGTAATCATTCACAACTGCTAAGAAGTGAAAGCATTCAAAATGTTCAAGGACAGATGAATGGAGGAACAAAATGTCTTATACACATACAAATGGAATACCATTCAGCTTACTTAAAAAAGAAGTAAAGACTCACACATAAGTGAGCCCTGAGGACATTACACTAGTGAATAAAGAAGACAAATATGATTCCATTTACATATGAGATGTCATATAAACTCACAAAACTTCAAATACGCAGAAACAGAAATAGAATGATGGTTACCAGGGAAGAAGGAAGTATGAAAGAAGATATGCTGTTTAACAGATAAAGTTTCAGTTCCACAAAATTAAAAATTATAGAGATCTGTTCCATAACAATGTGAATATACTTAATATTTCTAAGTGCCAAATTCCAAACAATAGACCACAAGGAGAGTCAATAAATCTGGAAGGTACATTTAAAAACATGAGGGGCACCCCTCATAGTGCAAGGGATTAGATTGTAGCACTGTGAAGCTATCCTTAAACTGCAGCACAAGTCTGATCCTCAGTCAGAGAGGTAACCCACACAGCATCTGCTGCTCCCCTCAGCAGTATATTACAGTGGTTCCACCTGTTCTGCCCCTCACTCCATTTCTGGTGAACCCTCTCACCCCTGGCACTTCTGGTCTGTGCCCCATTTCTTCGATGCAAAAAAATATATATATAAGATGAGGAGAAATCTAGGTTTGCAATGAGAAAAACAGATAAGGTACTTGTAAAATTTGAGTTATTTAAACTTCATATAAGAACCAATTCTGATTTTTGGCTCAAAGTTTAGAAGTACAGAAGAAAACAATTTTTATTACTACATTTTCACACATTTTGTACCTTAAATATTTCCTTTAATGTATTGTACAAGGCTATTCACAGTATCATCATTTTAATAGCAAAAGATTGGAAATCACTTTTGGGAGAATCATTGAGTAAATTACCTTACAGCTTTAAATACTTTAAAAAGGAGTATTTTAAGAAGAATAAAGAAATGCCTGTATTTATCATTATGGAATAATCCAAGGACATGTTGTTGAGTTAAAAAAGCAAGAAAATGGGCCCTCCCTGGTGGCGCAGCAGGTTAAAGCACAGCACTGAGAAGCTAAAGCCACTTCCACATGAGTTCGATTCCCGCCTGCCACATGGCGTGGCAGACCTCTCCTGAGGTGACCACATGGCGTGGCAGACCTCTCCAGACCCACCCGCTACTCCCCTCAGCAGTGTACTTCATCGATCTGCCTGTTCTGCTCCCCACTCTGTCTCTGGTGAAGCCTCTCGTCACCCCTGAGCCTCTGGCCTGTACCCCAGTTCTGTATGTACAAATAAATAAATCTTTTTTTTTTTTTTAAAAAACAAAGCAAGAATAAAAGAATATATAGTATAATTTCTCTGAACTATTTTGTTTACAAGGTTTAACACTGGAGACATGAAAATTATAAAATCAAATCAAAATTATTTCTAACTACCTATAGAGAATATATAATTTTCCTGAAATATCTTGCCTAGAAGATTTAACTATAGAATCATGAAAATTATAAAAGAAAAATAAATTTAAATTATTTCTAATTTCCCATTAAGAAAAAAAAAATTCAAAATGACTTTAAAACACAAAACTTTATATATCCCTAGTGAGATATATATTAAAAACAAAAAACAGAGAAACAATCACTCTGATAACAATAATCCTAGTATTGTGAAATTGCACTGCATTTTTTCTAGATGTATACAAATACATATATATCAAACAAGTAGTTGCTTTGTGTTAATTAGAAAAAGCAATGTAAAAAAACAGTTTATCAGAATAACATATATTTTTCTATTAAGGAAAAGAAAAAGAATTTCTTGTTCTGTTCACTGAATACCTTTCAAAGATGTCAATCTATTAGAAATTACTTACAATGCCCAGGGTATGATTTCTCAATTTTATTTCTAAAAAAATGGAAAAAGTGATTCCATTTAGAAATGACTGATTCCCAATCTGGGTCAGGAAATGTACAAGATGAAAGCAAAATATCTTACTGGAACTAAAAGCAAAGATGCCGTAATACCAAGGTTCTGACAAAAAGACTGAGGAGCCAACTTGCAGTGTGCTTCCACTGCCAACAATGACGCAATCTGAACACCACCACTACGCCTCTTCATCCTGCCTTTCTTTGTCTTCCCCCACCTTCTTCTCATTTTTGATCCCTTTCCTTTGCTAGTATTACCTACCATTTTGACACCAAACTCCCAAATATTCAAGAAAACCTCTCTTCCCTTTCCCCCCCTGCTTTACTGATCATAACTGTCTCACATTTTCACTTAGAAAATTTACCCATCAGGTGAAATTTCAGCTCATCAGTTTTGATTCTGTAAACTTAGAAATAAAGAACTCAGAATCCTCCTAAAGATTTGTATTTCAAGGCCACCAGTTTACATTATTTTATGTTACACAAAGAGGAAACTGGGCTAGAATCCTAATAAGATTAGAAAGGTCGATAGAAAATATTTTATGCTTTGAAGGCCAGGATGCAACATAAAGGATATATAAAGGTACTTATATAATAAGAGAAAACACTTCTACCTATCTTTCATAAAAAGTATAGTAAAATAATAAAAACAAAATACGAGAACAATTATTTGAAATACAGGTATACTAATAAGAGGAATAGAATTATTCTTGGGGGACAGACTAACATTTCACTTACTTGGGATTCAAAGTCAGTGTATTTTGTCATCAAAAAACAATTGTGGGGGCCCTCCCTTGTGATGCAGCAGGTTAAAGCACAGCACTGAGAAGCTAAAGCCACTTCAGTATCAGTTTGATCCCCACCCCGGAGGTGACCACATGGCACAGCAGACCTCTTCTGACCCGCCCGCTGCTCCCCTCAGCAGTATACTTCATCAGAAGGTCTGTTCTGCTTCCCACTCTGTCTCTGGTGAACAGTCTCACCACCCCTGCACCTCTGGCCTGTACCGCAGCTCTGTGTGCATAAATCTTAAAAAAAAAAAAGATTGTGGGGGGCCCTCCCTATTGACACAACAGGTTAAAGTATTGCACTATGAAGCAGTCAATTCAGCATGATTTCGATTTCTGGCCAAGGGGTGGCCCACATGGCACAGTAGACCTCACCTGATCCACCTACTGCTCCCCACTCTGTCTCATGTGAATCCGCTCACACCCCCCACCTCTGACCTGTACCCCAGTCTGTATGCATAAATAAGTAAATCTTAAATAAAGATTGTGGAGCCTTCCTGGTGGTACAAGGGTTAAAGATACAGCATTAACAAGCTATTAGCCCTTCAACAACTTTGCTCCCTTTGCTCCTTTATCACCCAAGGAGATAACCCACACTGCAGACCTCTCCTGTTGCATCTGCTGCTTCCCTCAGCACTGAATTTCAGTAGTTATACCTGTTCTCCCACATTGTCTTTGGGTGAATCTTCTCACCCCCTTGACACCTGCCCTACACCCCATTTCTTGTATGCATAAATAAATATTTTATAAAAAATGATTGTTTTTAGAAAAGAGGACAGTAGTTCCTCAAAAAACATACAAAAGAAATTAAATCAGTACCTCAGAGGTGTTATCATATTATTGAAAATAGCCAAGATATGGAGACAACTGTCTATCAACAGATAAACTGATATAAAAAAAATCACTAGATACACATACACAAACAAGTATTATTCAGTCATAGAAAAGAAGGAATTCCTGGCATTTTGCAACATGGATGAAATTAAAGAACACTATGTTAAGTGAACTATGCCAGACAAAGAAAGATATTGTACAATCTCACTTGTATGTACAATCTAAAAAAATTCAACACACAGAGCAGAGTAGAACCATGGTTGGTGAAAGTTTAGAGAGTAGTGAAGATAAGAAGGTAACAAACAGTCAAAGGGTACAACTGTTCAGTTCTGATGAATAAATTCAGGGGAGCTAATGTACAGCAAGGTACCAGAGTTAATTATATTGTGTTGTACACTTAAAATTAGTCAAGAGAGTAGATCTTAAGTCCTCTCTCCACACACAAAAGTAACTATATGAGATGATGAATGTATTAATTAGATGAGTGTGATAATCACTTCACAATTAGATGTACTAGTATCATCACACTGTACACCTTAAGGATGTACAATTCTTGTTGATTATACCTCGATAACGTTGGAAAAAGAATTGATTGTGAAGGGTGACAGAGCATGCCACCCCAAAATATGTCACATTAGCATAAGAGTTATTTTGAGCAGAATCACTTAAAAAACAGCAGATACAAGAACATTCTGACCTCTCCTTTTCTTTCTAAATTTAGGAGCTGTAGCTTCCACATAAAAGATATCCTACCTATACCCAGAGGAAAGAAACATTCTTATCACCAGAGATGGAGAGTCAAGGTGGAGAGAATTCTCTACAAATATTGTCAAAATAACTTACCTTCCTTTAACATCCCTAAGTATTTTCATTTCTTTTCCACAATTACCTCTTTAAGCTAAGAACTTAGCTTAAAAACAACTAGATTTTAGGGCCCTCCCTGGTGGTGCAGCAGGTTAAAGCAAAGCACAAAGAAGCTTAAGCCACTTCAGCATGAGTTCGATCTCCGCCTGCCCTGCAAGAGATCCACATGGAGAGGCAGACCTCTCCGGACCCACCCACTGCGCCTCTCAGCAGTCTACTTTGTCAATCTGCCTGTTCTGCACCCCACTCTGTCTCTGGTGAATCCTCTTACCCTCCACATCTCTGGCCTGTACCCCAGTTCTATACGAATAAATAAATGAATCTTTTAAAAAAAAACAAACAAACCAGATTTTAGCAACAACAAAAGTTGGCAAGGATGTGGAGAAAAAGGAACTCTCATGCACTGCTGGTGGGAATACAAACTAGTACAACCTCTATGGAAAACTGTTTGGAGGTTCCTCAAATATTTCCACTCCTAGGTATCTACCCAAAAGACACAAGAACACTGATTCAAAAAGATACTTGCATCCCCATGTGGTCCTTTGTATTGGTAATGCTAACAATACCTAGGCCACCAGGGAAGCCCACTGTTTCAATTCTTAACAGTATGGAAGTATAGTAAGCTGACTGACATTACCTGTGATGCAAATTTAATGATAAAGTTCTCAAAATGACTTTACTGAGAATAAGTTTAATATTTAAGCTGTTTGTATGTAAGACTGATTGTCTTGTACTTTTAAATTTAATGCATTTAGAAACATGAAATCTTCAAGAAAAGCTAATTTTCATAAGTCATTCAGTAGCTGATATCAGTAGCTGATAAATAGGTATAGTTAAGGGGGTGGGGGAATTCTTAACCATGAGCCCAAAAAGCTGCAGTAAATTTATACTTTTTTCTAAAATTCTGAATGCTTGTAATCTCCCTATTAAAACAGGAGAACAAATGAAATAGTATTAGAGGAAATGAAAGGAGACCTTTCATTCTTAATATTTTGGTATTTTTTAATAACAAATATGTAATATCACTCTTATCATTACAGATATACATCTCACATAATCATATAAAACATTTCACATTATTCTAAGTCCTATTCTATATAGGTGGCTTTGTCATAAAACCACAAGTCTATGAGTCTTAAAATCTCATCATTAAACACAGCTTTTGGTTTCAAAGTAGATATTTGATATATATCTGCTGAATGAATTAATTAAAGTAGAAATATGATAGAGAATTAATAGATTTTTCTGTAAGGGAGAATTTAACAATATACTACTTTTAGAAAGCCACATAATATAATAAAGCTGAAATAAACAAGTATAGACAAAAAAAAATAAGTTTTCAAGCCAAAGCCACGGGGTGTGCAATCACAAGGGACTGCATTGTTTTGCTATGGGCAGGCTTACCAAGTTAATTTTTAGGTAACTCATCTTGAAAATACTTACTTTCTCTGTATTCTATTTCTGCTTCTTTACGCAGTTTTTTTTCTCTGGCAAGAGCTTCAAGGCTTCCCCAAACTTCCAAAGATCTGTGTATACACACATGGACCAACAAAGGACAATTTTAATGCCTTAATTTAATCCTATCAAAATCCAGATGTACTACCCATAAAAATCTTACATCCAAAAAAAAATCTTACATCAAAGCATAAGGTACTTTAGGGACTAAGTGTTAGCATTACCAATACAAATACACTGATCATCTTAAAAGACAATCCAATAAAGGACTTAAGCAACTTTTCTAAATTAAATTTAAACAATGAGAGCAAATTCAACAGCAATTTTTCTTATATATTACATTTTTAGTTAACTAGTAGATGCCAGATGAATAAATTCTGCTGAAAACACATTATTTAGGGCTCTCCCAGGTGGCGCAAATGGTTAAAGCACCACATTATGAAGCTCTCCTCCAAAGCCACTGCAGAATGAGTTCAATCCCCAGTCAGGGAGTTGACCCACATGGTGTGGCAGACCTTTTCTTACGCCCCCACTGCTATCCTCAGCAGGGTACTTTGTCAATCTGCCTGTTCTGCTCCCCAATGTCTCTAATAAATCCTCTCTCCCACACTTTTTTTTTTAATTTATGTAAGCATAAATAAATAAATCTTAAAAAACAAAACAAAAACACATCATTTAAAAAAAACATGAATCTATCTAAAATGTGTTTTATTAACCCCAAATCCAACTTGTACATTTATTCTAAAAGAACCATGTTCTTACTTTGCCTCCACATCTGATCTCAAATATACAGTAAATGACTCAGTATCTTCATGAGGACTTCGTCGTCTGATTTTTCGAAGTTGTTCTAGGTCACTGCAGAAAGAAACTTGAAATATTCAAAGTATTCATATAGTTTATGTACTTAAAAGGATTACTAGTCGCCGATAAATTCAATACACTGATCATCTTAAAAGACAATCCATTTTTATAACTTTATAAAATCAGCTAAAAGACTACATGCTATTCACAAAAACTGGTCTAGAGAGTGTGAAGATTTTTTCTAGTACTTTTCTAGTAATTAAGAGGGTATGTCAATTTCATGTTATTTAATTATTCTCCTAGCTCTTAAAATTATAAAACATTTCATAAAAATAGCCTCTTATATGTTTGATCACAGATCTTCATAAGTATGTTTTGTAATGCAATTATAAATAAAACTGGTAACTATGGAATTTTATTAATTTCTAAAAACTAAACCTAGAGTTAAAAAAAACAACAACAACCAATCATAATGTTCATTTAAAAAGTTGGGTCAACCAACGCCACAACAGTGAAGGCAAAGATAAATAGATGGGACTACATCAAGTTAAAGAGCTTCTGTACAGCAAAAGAGACAGTACTAAAAACAAACAGCCCACTAATTGGGAAAACATTTTCTCACACAAAAGTAGCGATA